TCTTACAAGCAAGCACCTTTGCTGCTGCCAAGTACTTGTGCAAATCCTCTTTCCCCCGGGTCCCCCACAAAGGCTCTGAAGTTTGGTCACCGCGATCGACCAACTCCTTTCCCCTCCCGCCCGAGTGTTCCCATCGCTCTCCATGTTGTGAGAAGAGCTCACAGAACGCGCAGCCGCGCGTGCCAGCATGCGCTCGCGCTTCCTGTGCTCCTGGGCGTCTCAAAAGCGCGGAACGCACCGACGACAAAGTCTGTGGAGAGCAGCGGTCGTTACTAGCTAGCTGCACTGCATTAAACAAATAAACAAGTCAAATAAAACGCACAGTGACGGTAAGTCTTTGTATGTCAACAACTCAATAAACATTCATTTTACATTGTACATAATTTAAGAATATATCATATATAAAATATAGTATATATATATAATACAAAAACATGTGGCATTGCGAAAGGGTTCGTACTCGTTGATCAGCAACTGGTGGGAAGTTTGAACCCTGAACAAACATCTTGCACCTACATCCGCTCTCAATTGCCTATGCCCCTGAAACCTGGCCTTGGCCGTGGATTTGCATGTTTGGGTTCTGCACGAACATGTGTTAGGCTTCTTCCGCCTCCTTTACTTCAGTATGCGCAAGATTGTGTGGGAGGATTTCTGATGACCTGCACCACATTTCCCCAACAAACTACTGATGGTGGAAATGGGATTGATGCAGAGTTGGTCAGCTTCTAAGGACAACTGCCCTCTGCCAAGAATTTTCCATGGTGTGCATTCCCTACGGGGTGTGCATCAGTTTCAGCTTGTGTCAGCAAAGCTGCGGAAAGGCCCGACATGTGCCGAGACCCCAAAGAAGCAATGTCCCGAACGTCCGAAACGGAACATACACCCCAGCTTGCCACATTGGCCCTGCCAAACTGAAAGACATGGAAGAAGCTGAGTTCTTACTCTGACCTATGTTTTGCATCTTCAACCTGCGCATGATTTCAATAGATTTCAACAAACAGTTCACTACAGTCATACTTGGAGCATGCAAAAGAAAAGCGTGCTATGCGCCAGTGGATCTGTAAACATCTCCGGCCAGCGCTGCCAAGGGTCGGCTTCCATGTGGCGCACACGGCGTTGCTCCAAGTCGATCTCCTCTTCAACCTGGAGATGCAGCTCGTGGGCGAGAAATGACACGGTTGGTATCGGCTGACTGAGGTAAGGGTATATAGATTGATTGAATCAAGGGGTTCCCTGGAACATTGTGATTACATGTGATCACCACCTAGAAATCAAACAGTGCAATTTATAATATATGGTTATACTTTAACAGGTGCGTGGGCCTCTTTGTCTGTTGAAAGGTGGGATCTAAAGGATCTATTTATAAACCCTGGGGATCTATATATAAGCCAGGGGGTCTATTTCTAAATTTCAGCAGACAAAGAGGACCACTGCTTTCTAAAGTGTGGAATTGTGGCAGGCTTAATCTTTGTTTGTGTCGTTTTTTCTTGAAATTGCAGAACTGGCTGTTTTTTTCTTCTCACAAGCCGGCTCATAGGCGCTCTCATTCTGCACATAAAGCAAAATGAACCCACAGCTCATTCAGATGAGCAATCCCCTGGCCAAAAATGGCACGGCATCAGTCTACTGGTTCTTCTTTCCCCTCCTGGCTTTGGCCTTCTCAGAGGCCTCTGGCTTTGGAGCGGCCCTTTTCCTACCCTTCTCAGGTTTCGTGGGCTCATCAGGTTCCACTGGCTTCACTGGCTTCCTGATAGGAGCAAGGTTGGTCAGGGAGAGAAATAGAATCCTCAACTCAATTTAGTTTAGTGGGTTGAAGTTTGTCCCCAGCAAAAGACCTACCCAGTCAGTCGAGAACCTTACATCTCTTTTTGGGGTTGGTTTCCTCACTAAACAAGACTACTAGGTGGAAAAGGGTTAACCTTTTCTTTGAGGGAAAACTGAGGGGGTCAGAAGAGGTAACTAACCTGGAAAACAATTCTAAAAAATTGACCTAGCCTCCTCCCAAAATTGTCAAAATGCATTTGCAATGCACCGGGAAGATCCTTGGGACTTTTGCCCAAAGTCTTGGCCATGTAGCTGGCAACCTTGCGGGCAGTCAACAACTGCTGCTCTGGGGCATCATCCTTGTCCCTGATAAGCATCTGCACGACGGATAGGTAGGCAACAATGTTCGCAGTGATGCCTCGAAGCTCCTGAAAAAATTCAGGCTGATAAACCCATGAAGAGTATTGAAGAGTAACATAGAGTAACGGGGGCTGTAGTAAGGTGGAGTGTCGTGATTGAACAGAGTGGTGTTCTTTTTGAGTGGTAGGGTAGCTGTAGGCTGAGAAAACAAAACTACAAACTATCAACCCAGAGCCTCCAACTTCGTCTGGAACTGTTTGATCTCCATGAAGATCGCATCGTCACTCAATGCTGGAGTTTTAAAAGCCAAGGCGGTTTGGAAGAACATCTGGGGTGGAATCGTGCCCTTCTGGAAGTCAGAAAACTGGTGGCAGTCCGCATCGACTTTTCCGCTAGTGTCCTGGACCATCCACATAATAGGGTCCAGCTCCCAAATCTCCACAGCATTGAACAGTGGCCTCTCCAGACAAACAACCCCAGAAGAAAAAAACATCAGAGATTCAGTGCATGATTAATCGGGGTTCATGACTCACATGAACTTCATGACTCTAGAAACCTGCTGTTCTGAGAGGTGCCCAGTGCCCAGTTGTATTTGTCACGTTTTTTTCCTGCCTGTATTTCTCCGTCTTCTTCTCAACATCCAAGAGCTCCTTCTTGAGAGAAGCCAACTTGTAGTTGACAACATTCTCCTGGATCTTTTGCAGAAAAAGCGGAACCTTCTCTGCTTGCTCTGGAAAGAGTAGCTTGACAACATCGATGTCCATGGTCTTCAATGTGACATAGTCCTTGATTCGCTTCCCCAGGTCAGCCCAATCTCCATGATTCTCTGGAAGTGCCATCTCTGTCAAGAAGTTGTGGTTGATCAACACAGTACAATACGGCTTCACGTATGGAACCGAGTAGATGCAGCCTTGGGCATACTCAGCTGCAGCTGCAGGGCCTTCCTCAGTGAGCACTGCTTTGATCCACTCAGGGGTGGCTGTCCTGAGCTTTGCACTGAAGCGTTCCTCGCAGCTGGTGAACGATTGAATCCAATTGATCTCATCTTCGAACTTCTTGGCACCTTCAGTCACCTTCTGAAGGTTGGTGAAGGCATTTCCGCAATCCTTCAATGTCAGGCAGTGTTCATCAGGACAGCCCAGGTGAAAGTCAAGCAGCAATTGTGCCAGATCCCGCACCAAAAAGCCATGCTTCTCCCGCAGAATGTCAAATGAAACCATGCCTGCAGGTCAAAAGAATGGTCTGAATTCTGAACTTGAAGTTTGGATTCCTGAAAAATTGTTCAAATGGCTTTAAATAAAGCAAAAGCACAAATTACAGAAAGTGACCCTGCCTTCAACCCTCAAGTATGTCAGGAAAGTCCTGACGTTGATGTCCTTGCCGCCAATGCTCAACTGTTGCTCTGGCACTGCCAGGTTGTCGGTCCACAAAGTCTCCAGAAAGTCTTTCAGGCACACTGACGCTTGGAAAGCTGTTGAAATCACACCCTGCACTGCCTGCAGACTTTGGTCCAGCTTCTGCCCTGCCTCTGTGACAGCAGAGTCATTTGATGCGTGGCAAACCGTCCGAAGTGCAGTGGCTTTGGAACAAGATCGAATGGCCTCCTCCAAGGCATCCAAGGTCTTGAAGTCATTCTGGTCATCCCATTTGAGAAGCAAATCCTTCAGCTTGGACAGCTCTGAAGTAACTGTCTCTGCATCCTTCAAAGCATTGTTCTGATCCAAGGCCTGCTTGCCGATGGTGAGCACTTCAGTCCAAAGTGCTTTCAAGCGGTTGTTGGACCGAAACATGAGGTTCACTCTGGCTGAGGTAGTGCTGGAAATGGAGGCCACAATCTTCATGCCTTCAGCTACCTCGTTGCTCACCATACCGGAGGTCTTACAAGCAAGCACCTTTGCTGCTGCCAAGTACTTGTGCAAATCC